TAAGGAGCGTACGTGCCGAATAGCACGCATCACCATGCAGCACCATCCGGATCAAGTGCACAGCAAAGAGCATTGGCCAACACTTATCATCGACTCCTATCAATCATTCATTTCATCTTTCACTTGCCTTTATTTGTTGTGTATTGGAGTTTTTTCCTTTTTTCCAAGTTTCGAAACAAATTTAATTTAATTTATCCCCCAATACTCATTTTGTGAGTGTATGTTAGTGCCACCTCGGGAGCAGAGTAAAGCCTTTCCCATATTTCCTTAGGCTAAAACCCGATGGTTCAATTTGCAATACATGATAGACCACTTTGTTTGGCACTAGCTTTTCATTTATTTTTCTAAACCTCTTTGTCTGCCTTGTTACTAATTATGTTTGCTTCAAAATATATCATCAAAAACAAATTAAAGAACAAAGACGGCGTCTTGTGACTTGCAATGAAAGAGAATCGAAAGGTATCAGTTTGTTATTGTCATCAAGTTGGTCTTTTGAGTGGTACCCGAACACATCATTGCTGCTTCCCTATTAAAGCACAGAAATTCATTTTAAGATGAACTCAAAAGCTTCTTTAAAAGGTACAGGGTGGATTCAACTTTATAAGAAGGAGTGTTATTTGATTATTCAAGACATCTTTGTGCTAGGAAGAGATCAGCCGAGTTGAACATGCACAACAAGAGGCACTCAAAATTATTTGGTTATAGAGATACTATTGAAACCCCGAAGCAGAGAATAGCTGGTGGGTCAAGTGATGCTTTCCAAAGAACCCATACTATGCCAGGTGGTCAAAGCTTTGCAAGACCTCCACAAGTGTACCATGTAGAAGAAACATTTTATAGAAAATACGGCTGTAAAGACGACGAAACAGAGCATTGGGCTTCGTCGAAAGGCCTAAAGATACGAGGAAGCTGCAGTTACGTTCTCGGCGTTAATGATGACGATTGTGCTCGTTCTTTCTGTGATTCTGTATCGTCCGTCGCTTGCAGCAACTTTACAGTAAGAAATGGCGATGAAAAGATGGAGAGAAAATTCACACTTTCAGGCAGAGTTGGAAATTTTAATGCCATTGTGGCATGGCTTCAGTGTTCATCCAGCCCAATTATATGGTAATAGCAGGAGCCTAATTTGATGGGCTCCTGGTAATAGCCAAGGACTTAGTTCTAGTTATCGAAGTTTTGTTTTTTGAAAAAAATCGTTGCTTTTTTGAATTACCTCCTCAGTTTTGCATTACGAAAGGATTTTATCTTAGCCTTCGAACTTTGCTTTTGAGCTTTTTGAACTTTTTATCCACGTGCACGAAACATGTGACTAATGGAGTATAAACAACTGTTTCCTGACATGCATGAATAGTCATTTTTTATTACTTTTCAGTTTTATAAATCTTCATATTTAGGCCTTGTCCACACGTATCTGGATATATATTTTTTTTCTAATAGAGATTTTTTTTCTCAGCTTTCGAAAAAATACGTGTCCACGCGAGATTACATGCCTTACAGAGCATGCGCGGTGTGGTGTATGGCATCATTGTATTCGAACTCCTTCCATACGAAAACGATAAGCTGGCGTTTTAAAAAAAATAATCACTCTGGGGACCGCTTTCGAAAGTCTGCGTTTTCTGGAGAAAAATCCCCATTTTCAAAAATATCACCTCAGGTCTAGTATGTCAACCTCTCCAGGAGTGGGTAAGAATTTTGGGTCAATTATTAATAACCCGCAACGCTAAATGTCTTTAAGGAAGCTCGCACCCATTTTTCAAGGTCTCACCCCTTCGTGTTTGATGCTTCATAACTTTGGTTGTAGTGCCTGTACGAAAAACCCACAAAGCGAAACAACATATCTAACATTGAACTTAACTTTAGAGTATGTTTTGTTGTCATCGCTGCTTATTGCAACAGAATGACAATGACATGAAATCTACAAATTAGGAATTTTTTTTCGAATACTAGCAATTAACTTTTATTTAAAAATCCTCTGAAGAGCTAATAGTTAATCGTTACCTGGGCAAGATTTTAAAAAAATCTATGAGTCTCATAGATTTTTTTTAAATCTTGCCTGGGTGAGTGTGTAAAGATAAACTATTAGCTCTTCAGAGGATTTTAACAGTTTATTGCTAGAGAACGTTTTTGAAATACAATGTTCTAAAATTTTTGAATCCAAAAAATATCTTTTACACTGTTTATTTTTTTAATATACCTGGCTTAAGGTGCGGTTCAGTTCTGTCAATAGTAAAACTGGCAAGCAATCGCCCTTTGCGATCGCACAATACAGCAATTTTTATCGAACCTGGATTAAAATACAGTCGAAGCTCGCTATTTCGAACTCGGTTAATTCGAAGTCCCCGCTATTTCGAAGGAAGATCGAATGCCCTTGGATTTACCTTTCCCCTTTACGCTTCCCCGGTTATTTCGAAGCCCCGCTATTTCGAACTTTTTTTCATTTCCCTTGGGACTTCGAAATAGCGGGGTTCAACTGTATCACTAGAAATATCAAACTTTTGTCTACAAGTTGCATCATAAAACAAAGTGTATCAGTGTAGCCTTACGGAAAGCTCTTGCAATCCTCAAGTTTGCTTTACATCAAACTGACCTCTATTCCACGCTAGGAAACAATGGCTCATTGAGTCGAACTGATTGTGGAGAGTTTTCACTCACGTGATCAGCAGCTGTGCAAGGACGCTGTCCTTCTCTACGAAAGCATTTCAGTAACACATGTAGGTAGGTAGGTGTAGGTACTCTGATCGAGCTCCACCGGCTATAGCTCTTGTGAGCAAGGGGGCGGGATCCTTGCTATATATATGAAACCCTCGCGAGCACTTCACCAGAAACAATTTATTTCTTTACAATAAAATGTTTATATAATCTGAACATACCATGTCTTATGATAACAAATTAATAATAATAATAATAATATTATTATTATTATTATTATTATTGTTATTGTTATTATTATTATTATTATTATTATTATTATTATTATGTTGTAGTATAAAACTTTGGAATGCTGTCCACATTATGAGTAGTATAGGGCGCATAGCGTAATCTACAAAACTTGAGAAGCTATACTTAGAAGTAAAAAAAGGTCGGTACGAAACCTAATACGATCCTAATATACATAATGATATGAATCTCTCTACTTAAGAAGCCAATTTAGAATATTAATAAATTCTTATACTCTGTAAAACCTACGCTAAGACATGATGATATGATTATCTCTAATAGAGGCCCATTTAGAAAATTATTCAGTTTTTACACTCTCATTATCTCTTATATACCTAAACGAGGCCACCATAATGTGATTATCTCTACTAAAAGCTTATTTAGAATAATATCAAACTCTAATGCTCTAAAAAATGTAAGTACTAAAAACATCAGCAAGCTTGTGTTTCCAGATTTCTAGGGAAAAAACAAAAACCTAAAAACTGGAGTCCTTAGGGCCCTAACTAAGTATTTATCTTAAATTATTATTATTATTATTATTATTGTCTCTATTATCACAGTCTTTGCTGGTGTTCTTTTTGTTCATCAGCCGGGCGCAAACCATGCACCTAGAGCGTCAGTCACTCAAGTCAATCATTCTGTTCATACACTGAGCACCTTTCTGAGGATTCGTGCAGATCCCAGCATGCAGATCTTTTGAGTCTCTATCATAGTAGCTCTCTCTGATACTTTCTTGATGTTTTCTACCATTATTATTATTATTATTATTATTATTATTATTATCATTATTATTATTATTATTATTATTATTACTTTAATTATCCTCTCCCCTTATGGGGCTTTTTAGAAATAACGAGAGAAATGGAACATATAACACGGTTAAAAATCCAAACTGGTTGGAGGCGGACCAGTTGGTTATTTTACATGCCTGGCAGAGGATTTGATCTCGGGACTATCGAGAACAAATCCAGCAAGCGGTCAGGGCGGGGCGTGATCTCGAGGCCTCCGAAATACAAGTCCAGCACCGTTGTAACCACTCGGCCACGATGCCTCCTCTGTAAACTGATTATATTTTCAATGTTGCTTCTTTTACAAAAGAGAGCTCCTCTTTCAGGCCTGCTTTAATACACAAATGCATATCGTAAATTCAAATATTGTAGATAGCTGGTGATGGGCTTATGATAAAAGATGGCGTAAATATTATGGCTGGATATTTATACCTAGAATGGCTACTTATTCGAAGGACATATTGATTCATGAAATGGGGGATCCTTTCTTCCTTTTTTCTTTTATCTTTTTTTTTTTGTGTGCGTTGGGAATGGGTGTTTGTTACCACTTTACATAATGGTTCCCTAATTTTACAACTAAATGACCAATGGATTATTGTAACATTAATCTCCACCTCCACCCCACCCACCGTTCCAGTTGTCAATAGTTTTCCCTCCTTTGTTCAAGTTTCCAGAATATGATCGTTCCTTGATAGGAAAACTAAGTACAAAAATATCATTTCAGAACTTCGTTTCCAGACCAAGATTGGAATTCATGTCATTGAAGGACCTTGGTGCTGCGAGATATGTTGATGGTTTTGACTGTAAAGATGTGACCCTCAGACTTTGCGTCGACGTGGTTGCTGGTAGTTGATTCTGACTATATGGCGTCCAATACGAGGCACATCGAAATATTGCTTTCGTTTCCGCCCTTAGGTTTTCGCTGAAAGCAATAAAGAGCCAGGGGTGAATTGCAGCATTTGCGTGAGCAAGCCAGTAGAAAAAATACTGCACAATAGTGGGCACTCCCTCGTACGCCTCTTCGTAAAACTTAGACATTATGTGATCAACATGTACTGGGAGCCAGCAGATGGTGAACACCGTCACAGCTGTGATCAGCATCTTGATAACTGCCCGACGATTTCTTGCCTGTTTTGCGTAAGCCTGTCTGTTAACGTGCCCTGGTGGTTTATGTCTCCATAAGAAGAGGCCGATCAAGGAGTAAAAGACTGTCATAATGATCAGGGGGGCTGCATAGGTTAAAACAAATCTCAAAATCATTTCCGCCTTGTAGATAGTCTCAGATGTCTTCTCTGAAACGTGCCAATCGTCATAGCGCTCAGTTGTTCCGTCCTCGGTTACCTCTGTTTGAAACTTGTACAACTGACCACTGAATATCACTCCACCACACAACCAAAGGGCGACTATGACACGCACCACAGATCGGGATGACAGTGACCCTGGTTGGACGCTTACAATAGCCAGATACCGGTCAGCGGCAATCACTGTTAGCGTCCAGATGGCAACACAAATGGAGACGAGCAAGAGGTATGGGATGATCTTGACGAGAATTTTACCTACTATTCCTGGTATCCATCGAGAACCAACTAGCAATTGCGGCAATAAGAAAGAGGAAGCTGTGATCACATCTATCGCATCAGCAACAGCCGTGTTTGCCAAAAGCCAGTTGAAAGGGTTTTTGCGAATATGCCCACGCGTGCGCACGAGGTGTATGACGAGCGAATTGCCAACCAACGAAAAAATGATAATGATGATGTAAGCAGTAACGAAGACTATCTTTGTTACGTTATCCGTTTCCCCGTTATTGTAGTCATCTCCGTCGCTTTCTGGACCTTCGTGATCAGTTATGTTAGATCTCTCTGTGTGATTTAATGCCTCCATTCTACAGCCTACGAAAGAGCGAAACAGCTTCAATCATAAGTCAATACTACAGCACGGTTCTCCCAGCCCCCTTTTTAAAACAGGGAAAAAATTAAAAACGAAACATGGGAAATCAAAAGAAAGCGTCAACACCTGCCGATCCATATAAGATGTGATACTTTGTGCTGTATGGCCTCAACGGGTGAACCTTTCGTGTTAGTTATAAATGTAACGCAAGTCATGGATAAAAGGCTAAACCACCCGAAATGTGATTGTTTCTTGACCCATAATTTCTGTATTCTTTTCGTATTTTAAAAAATTATCAACAGATCGAGACAAAGAACTATTTTCACAGTAATACCCAGCTACCAATTGCCTTAGTCTTCAGCAAGGCTAAGTGGAAATTGGCATTCTCGTTTTCAACAGCACACAGAGTGTGCTACTAAATAAACCATTTTCATTTAATCGATTAGCAATATTGAGCAGAAAGTCTGTATACACATTTCAAGCTGATGATTATTAAGCTCAGTTTTTCAAGATTCCCCTTAAACTAACCGTATGGGATCTCTATTAATTTTTCTCTACCACTGACCTAATCATCGACGAGGCAAGAGAAGTAATCAAAATTACTTTACTTTTTAGATCGGCAAAAAAATTCCTCCGTTGTTTGGTTTGTAGTTACCTCTGTTACGACAAGCTTTCATACTTACCTATAGGGTTCCTAGTCGTGTTAAAAAAATTTGTTTCAGCTCAAGTTTTTCCGTTATCTAGGGCAATTGTAGTCAGTTCCTTGTTGTGCTTAATAAGTCTAATCTTCGCTGTTAAACTGGCGAATGAACAACTTCTGCGTCTTAAGTGTTTGAGTAGTTTAATATAAACATTTCACGATTGTTTAGGCAAAATCACCATTTTGTGGTTTGTGTTAAATGTATGACATTTCATAACAACTACGCTTCACTATGGCAAGATCGCGTAACTACGTTGTTTCAAATTAATCTTTTTCGATATAATTCGTCAAATCTATTCAATTTCAGCGTGAAGTAGGTTTGTCAACTGACAGAAATAGCAATTCCCATGTTTTATACTAAACTGCTTCATATTTGCACAAAAGCGGCACATTAAAGTGTTAGTCCTCAGAGTTGTAATTAGTCTGCTTTATTACAAAATGTCTAAAACTCTAATGAAATATAATCTGAAAGCGCTAGAATATACATGTAAAGGTTCAAAGATGAGACACCAGGAAAATTTTTGCCTTGGAGTTTTTTCAGGCACTCCAACTGCTCAAGCTCCTGGTTAGAAATTTTTAAAACCAAACTTTTAAAAAATCGTCTCTGGTAGCAAATAGGCTGTCAAAATATTTATGAATATATGCTCGCTTTGATAGTGTTATGCTAAGCAGCTGAAGACACAGAGGAACACGTAAATAATTGTTATTGATATTTTCTGGTCCGAAGGAGGAAAAGTTAGTCCGTTTTTGACAATTTCAAACTGATGCTCAGGTAACTTAAGAAGCGGGTCACTCGCATTAATCTGCCCAAGAAGCTAAGAGAATGGTCTCTCTCCAAGAAAAAGGCCGATCGACATGAAATTCACTTAAAGCTGGTCAATTGAGCTTTAGGGGGTGTTAACATGAGAAAACTCGCAATGGCGCGAATTTCATACCGGGATGACTTCTTGATTTCATATCGCGTTTACATGTTTGAATGTTTTTCCTCGTTCCATGACCAACATGATGACGCCATCCTGAATTGACGAAAACTACGCATGTGCTACAAGTTCCAGTCGACTGGCAGACCGTTTTCACACGAAACGGCAGGTCGTTTCGAGTTTACATAATAACGTTACGAAATTTCTTACCGCAGTAAAATTCTCGCTCCGGTACAACAACCGGGGTGAGCTCAGGCCGGTGTGACTCGCGCCGGCGTGACATTTGTGACAACGTTTTGTCACCTTGGTTCATTGTGTTAAGTGTAACGCCTTTGGGAACGTTTCATTTTATAATCTTGAATAATGTAGAAGTTAGACTACCACATTCAGTTTCACATACACCTGATTGGGATTGACAGGATTGAAATAACAACATAGCAAAATAAATAGATCTTACGCAAATTCAGATTTCAAGGAACTAAAATTCGCGAACTGGAGAATATGATATTAGGTGTTCATCACAGTGTAGGGATAAAGTAATTTCTTTACCAAAGCCCCATTCACACCAAATAAAGCGTGTTTAATTAAACAAGTTTTAAACAAATGGAAAAGGTAATAGAATGATGAAAATCAGACATTTACAAAAGATTCATTCACAAAAAACTTTACTATACTCTGTTATTTGCACATTATTTGCAATGGCCAAGAGTCCGAGTAAGCAGCTGTTATGAAGAAAACAATTTTGAACCATGTTTAACATTAGGCTTTAAGTTACTGGTTGCAATTGAAAAATGTGTAACACGACTGATCTCAGTGCGAGAGGCTTGACACACAAGATGAAGTGGTTTTCAAAATATAGTCGTCAATGGTGAGTTGCGGGTCTAGAACACCCCCAAGGTCCTTTGCCAAGGATGCAGGGAAAGGATCTTTCAGTAATTTTACTCAAGGTCGCATCGCCTTTCTGTTGGCTTAAAATCCCTTGTATTAAAATATGCAGGGAACGCAGAGCCCGTAAATAATGTTTAAGCCACTTGCCAAAGCAGAGCCGTAGCTAGCGGGGGGCAAGGGGGGGCCGCTGCCCCCTCTGGACCTGTTGAGCCAGACAAATCAACCCAGTGGATGGAGTTGTTTTCTTTAGACTCAGTTATTTTGATTATAGTGACTTGCAATTGCTTCCCATTTTCATGATTCGAGGTCGATTTTTGAGAGACACATCTCATGACAAGTGCTGAAAATTGCGTTTCGGAGCCTCCAAAGTTGAAAATTTTTTGAGGGAGGATACCCCAGACCCCCTAACAGGGCTCTTGCCTTCGGCACTCAAGATAATGCCCCCCCGACCCCCGTTACAAAAACCTAACTACGGCCCTGCGGAGACTAGTTTCTCGAATGGTACGCCTACTTCATATCACCTTTTACACTGCACGTCAACCTCTTGTGTTATGTGGCAGATATGTATTCTTGTTAGACAGGTTTATGTTAGCCTGTGAGCTGGTGCAAGTTCGTGGAAGAACCGAACAAAAAATTTGGCGCCGGAGCCACGTGCGAGCGCCGCCAAAACTGTGAGCCTTCTCACACGCTAAGTTTATGTAAGGTGAAAAAAAAAATCCAACAAACAGATCTTATAAAGTACTTTATGACTGATTGATTAGATATCATTTGTCCTGAACAAGGCGTCCGAGTATTACCCTTACTGACACAGTTTAGCTTATGTGTAAGAACACCAGAACACAAGGTAACGAAACATCACTGAAATTTTTTTTCGTGGATAAACTCCATGAAGACGAACCAGTAAAGTATTAATTTCAAAACCAAACTATTCCCCACATCGAGATATCAAATGCTCGGGATTGAATGGCTTTAGGGAAAATGTCGAAGTGTGATAAGTAAAAAGGCTCTTTAAGCGTAGCACAGGATACCCAAGCTACTCAAGTTCATTAGACACTGCTTTACTACTGGAGTGTTGGATTCCAATTCGATCTTCCTGGTTACAAATCCCAATCTGATCACTGGTCGCCTACTTCAACTATGGATCTTAGGGGGTTTTCACTCACTTAGCTACCATCTACGCACCTTCATTGGAACAAAAGAAAGTGTTTACATAAGAAAAGTGTTCAACTCCCACGAGACTGGCTTAGAACACCAACATGGCCACCATTTCATTGTTTAGGAACACCAATATGGCCGCCATGACGTCATGTGAAAACGCTCTATTGTTATTTGGCATCGGTCCAGTAAGTGAGGCTTCTTACTTGTTATACGTAATTTGGCCACTTTAGAAACGAGAGGAGAACTGGAGTCGAAATGCATCTCGCAATTGTATCTGGGATCGCTACTGGGGACACGCCAGACAGCTACTGGCCAATCGGGTGGGTTATCTGTGAGGAGAGATCTCAATACAGGGAGAACCTCATGATCCTCCTTGATGTGGCGTAATGGCTACCTGTAAACAGTGTGTGTATGTATAATTTTCCTCGTCTCTAGTAATAGTCTCAGAAGTCTTTCGAAAAAGTTATACTTGACCCAATTTCCCTCTTGTTTCCAAATGTGGCGACTTGTCCAAGGGCCGGTCTTCCTCTTCCTGCCCAGCTAACATTACATAGCCCTTGTACCACCCCTGCAGCTGCTTTACCGAGAATTGTAATATTTACATTGAAACGTATGAACGCGACTGTCAAAGCCGTTAAAACGTGTCGGTTTGTGTGGAAATTTCAAAACTGTTTAAGTCTCAGAGTTTAATTAGTGATCATTATTACGGCGGCAAGCTCGCCTGCGGCAAAAACACAGAACGCGACAAGTGAGGGCAGCAGCCCAAGACGAAAAACACGCTGATCAAGGAGCGTACGTGCCGAGTAGCACGAATCACCATGCAGCACCGTTCGGATCAAGTGCACAGCAAAAAGCATCGGCCAACACTCCTATCAATCATTCATTTCATCTTCCACTTGCTTTTACTTCAGTGTTGTGTATTAGAGTTTTTTCCTTTTTACCAAGTTTCGAAACAAATTTAATTTAATCTATCCATCAATATTGATTTGTTACTGGATGTTCTTGCCACCTCGGGGGCAGAGTAAAGCCTTTCCCATATTTCGTTAGGCTAAAACCCGATTGCTCAATTTGCTATACGTGATAGACCACTCTGTTTGGCACTGGCTTTTCAGTTATTTTTCTAAACCTCTTTGTCTGCCTTGTTATTAATCATGTTTCCTTCAAAATATATCACAAAAACAAATTAAAGAACAAAGACGGCGTAGGATGTCAGGTGACTTGCAATGAAAGAGAATCGAAAGGTAACAGTTTGTTATTGTAGTTCAAGTTGGTCTTTTGAGTGGTACCCGAACACATCATTGCTGCTTCCGTTCTACGCCGAATCTCTTCCCATGCGCTTGCTATTAAAGCACGGAAATTCATTTTAAGATGAACTCAAAAGCTTCTTTAAAAGGTACAGGGTGGATTCAACTTTATAAGAAAGAATGTTCTTTGGATTATTCAAGACATCTTTGTGCTAGGAAGAGATCAGCCGAGTTGAACAACAAGAGGCGCTCAAAATCATTCTGTAATAGAGATACTATTGAAACCCCGAAGGAGAGAATAGATAGTAGGTTAAGTAATACTTTTCAAACAACCCATACTATACCAGGCGGTCAAAGCTTTGCAGGAACTCCACAAGTGTACCATGTAGAAGAAACATTTTATAGAAAATACGGCTGTAAAGGCGACGAAACAAGACATTTGGGCTTCGTCAAAATGCCTAAAGATGAGAGGAAGCTGCAGTTACGTTCTCAGCGTTAATGATGATGATTGTGCTCGTTCTTTCTGTGATTCTGTATCGTCCGTCGCTTGCAGCAACTTTACAGTAAGAAATGGCTATGAGAAGATGGAGAGAAAATTCACACTTTCAGGCAGAGTTGGAAATTTTAATGCCATTGTGACATGGCTTCAGTGTTCATCCAGCCCAATTATATAGTAATAGCCAAGAACTTAGTTCTAGTTATCGAAGTTTTGTTTTTTGAAAAAAATCGTTGCTTTTTTGAATTACCTCCTCAGTTCTGCTTACGAATGCATTTTATCTTAGCCTTCGAACTTTTGCTTTTGAACTTTTTGAACTTTTTATGCACGTGCACGAAACATGTGACTAATGGAGTATAAACAACTGTTTCGTGACATGCATGAATAGTCATTTTGGATTATTTTTCACTTTAAAACTTTTTATGTTTAGGCCTTGTCCACGCGTTTTTGTTTTTGTTTTTTTTTTTAGTTTTTTTTTTCATGGAGACTTTTCTTACAATTTTCGAAAAAATACGTGTCCACACGCGATTACATGCCTTACAGGGTATGCGCAGTATGATGTGTGACATCATCGTATTCGAATTCCTTCCATACGAAAACGGTAAGCTGGCGTTTTAAAAAAAAATCACTCTGGGGACCGCTTTCGAAAGTCTGCCTTTTCTGGAGAAAAAATTCCCCATTTTAAAAGATATCCCTCAAGTCTAGTATGTCAACCTCTCCAGGAGTGGGTAATAATTTTGGGTCAATTATTAATAACCCCCAACGCTAAATGTCTTTAAGGAAGCTCGCACCAAGGTTCACCCCTTCGTGCTTGATGCTTCATAACTTTGGTTGTAGTGTCTATACGAAAACCCCATAAAGCAAAACAACAATTCTAACATTGAACTTAGGGCCTGTTTACATGGAGTGGGAGACCCCGGTCTAGTGGGGTAAGTTTCTTTTGTTTTCACGCTCTGGGGGACACAAAACAAAAGAAACTTACCCCACTAGACCGGGGTCCCCCACTTCATGTAAACAGGGTCTTAATCTTAGAGTATGTTTTATTGTCATCGCCGCTTATTGCAAAAGAATGGCAATGACATGAAATCTACAAATTAGGATTTTTTTTTTCAAATACTAGCAATAAACTGTTAAAATCCTCTGAAGAGCTAATAGTTTATCTTTACCTACGCAAGATGTAAAAAAAATCTATGAGTCTCATAGATTTTTTTTAAAATCTTGCCTAGGTAAAGATAAACTATTAGCTCTTTAGAGGATTTTAACAGTTTATTGCTAGAAAACGCTTTTGAAATATAACGTTCTAAAATTTTTGCATCCAGACAATGTCTTTTTCACATTTTATTTTTTAATCATCAATACGATCATTTACAACTCCTATATAATCCGTATGTATATATACCTGGCTTAAGGTGCGGTTCAGTTCCTTTAATAGTGAAAATTGGCAAGCAATCGCCCTTTGCGATCGCACAATACAGCAATTTTTATCGAACCTGAATT